TGAATTTTTCTTGTTGATTTTTTTAAGTTCTGGATAAATTCTTGTTGTCAGCCCTTTATCGGATGTGTAGAGGACAAATATTTTCTTCCACTCTGGAGGTTGTCTATTCGCTCTAAGATAGTTTCCTTGGGTGTACAGAAGCTTTTTAATTTGATCAGATCCCATTTATTTATTTTTGTTGCTATGATGATTGCTTTAGGTGTCTTCTTCATAACTTCTTTGCCTAGGCCAGTGTCTGAAAGAGTCATCCCAACATTTTCTTCTAGAATTCTCAAGGTTTCATGTATTAAGTTTAAGTCTGTTATCCATTGTGACTTAATTTTTTTGAGAGGGGAGAGGTGGGGATCCTGTTTCAATCTTCTGCATGTGATTATCCAGTTTTCTCAGCACCATTTATTGAATAGAGATTCTTTTCCCCAGTGTATTTTTTTGTCTGCTTTGTCAAAGATCAGATGATGATATGCGGATGGTTTCATATCTGGGTTCTCAGTCCTGTTCCAAAGGTCTATATCTCTGTGCTTGTGTCATCACCTTGTTACAGCCATACCACCCCGAACGCGCCTGATCTCGGAAGCTAAGCAGGGCCGAGCCTGGTTAGTACTTGGATGGGAGACAAGGTTTCTTTCTTAAAGTTACTTGGGTTCTTAGTGATAGTTGACAATGTGGTTTTGGGGTCTAGGAGGAAACACTCACTAAAATCCTAGACTTTAGAGGGAATGGATAAGCCGCTGTTCCTTCTAGGTAGTGTTAGAGTATGAATCATACGTGTCCTGGAGCAGTTCCCGACAGTCCCTACTCTTGTCTGTACCCAGCAGCTCTCAACGGGATCTGCCCTTGGGCTATTGGCACTCCTGGCCCAGGACTTCCTCTTGAAGGGCAGCAGGCTTCCTGGATCTGAGTCTTCTTCTACTCCTGAATTAGGAGATTTGCAATAGAAGAGCAGGATGTGGTGAGCATAGTACCTGGGGGGGGGAAGGCAACTGGACCTGGAACAGTGCCAATTTTCTGATACTCCACCACTATTCTAGAACAGGCGGCATTAACTACATTTTTGGCAAAAATACAAGAGTAGTGATGCTCATAACTCAAATTTAATCACAAAGAAATGTTAAAGAAGCACAGTTGAAGGACATTCTACATATAAGAGCAGTACTCTTCAGAAGCATTGAGGTCACGAAAGACAAAGACTTGAGGAACTGCCCCAGGTTGGGGGCATGATGGTGAAGTGAAGTGTGTATGGTCCTTGGGTATATCTTTAGCCAGGAAAAGGACATGAGTGAGACAACTGGGCAAACGTGAATGAGATTTGTAGATTAGTCCGTAATATCGTATTGGTTTTAATCTCCTGGCTTTGAGAGTCACTTTCTGTGACTATGTGAGATACTCATATTTAGAGAAGTTGGGTGAAGAAATGGAATATGGAAATTTTTTATCCAATTATTAAAACATTTTTGTGCCTGAAATTATTTTAAAATGTAAAAAGTCTTTTAATTTAAAAGAATAGATGTAGAATAGAGAGCTTTCAACACAGTCTATATTGGTAGAGAATTAAAGAATAAACCAATGGAAGTAACTAATATGCGGAAGAGGGTGTTAGTGAAGCCCAGAAAAAGAGAGAAAATAAAAAATGTAAACTAAGGCCTGGCAAGGTGGCTCCCACCTGTAATCCCAGCACTCTGGGAGGCAGGAGGATTGCTCAAAGTCAGGAGTTTGAGACCAGCCTGAGCAAGAGTGAGACCCATCTCTATCAAAAGTAGAAAAATTAGCCGGGCATGGTGGTGCGTGCCTATAGTCCAGCTACTCGGGAGGCTGAGGCAGGAGGATTGCTAGAATCCAAGAGTTTGAGGTTGCAGTGAGCTATGATGACACCACTGCACTCTACCCTGGGCTACAGAGCAAGACTCTGTCTCAAAAAAAAAAAAAAGCAAACTAAGAGGGTAAAGATATTTTTTAATGAATTAGTACAGTAATGTCAATGAACTAATGTTTTCAGATAAAATAGATCCTCGGATAAGAGCCAACCCCCAAAAAATCCATCTACATGGTATTTCTAAACATATTATTTCTGAACCCTAAATATAAAGACACATAAAGATTGAAAGCTAAAGAATCCCTTCCACCAGCAAAAAGAGGGTACCAGGAAAATATTCATGGAAAGAAAGCTAACGAGGTTAAGTTGATATCACACAAAAGATACTTGAAAGCAAAATGTATTTAGGAAGAAAGGCTGCTGTGTAAAGGTCATAATTTGCCAGGAAGATAAAATGATTCTGTATTTAGGTCCACTTAATATAACTTCAAGATGTATAACTTTAAAATTGCTGGAATTTACAGTTAGTAATCATATTACTACATTATTAATGCACTTGTCTCAGTATTGATGGATTAAGCAGGCAAAATAATTATCAAACTTAAAAAAAATTTGAAAAGCAAGCTTAATTGGCAGAAATTTGTAGAACCCTCCAAACTTATTCAGAGAATTGACCACATTTTAATCACAAAGCAAGCCTCAGGAAATAAAGAATTCTCTGTTCTCTGATTACAATAAAATTATATTAGAAATCAGTAGCAAGAAAACCCTGCATAGGTTTGGAAATTTAAAACTGACTTCTACATAGATCAAAAAAGAAACCATCACAAAAATTAGAAAAATTGAGAGCTGAACAATAATAAAAAAATAAATCGCATCAAAATGTGGACTGCAGCTAAAGAAATACTTTAAGGGAAATGTAGAGCTTCCAGTGCTTATATTAAAAAGAGATGGAGCCCCAGCCACAATAGCTCAGTTGGAAGAGCATTAGACTAAAAAAAAAAAAAAGAGAGAGAGATGGAATACGAGCTATGCAGCAAAGTTGAAAGTTAAAAAAAAAAGAACCCAGAGAAAGTCGACAGAAGGCAATAATAAAAAACAGAAATGAAGAAAACAGAAAATGCAGATGCAGCAGAGATGATCAAATCAGCAAGGTCAAGAGCTGGTTCTTTGAGAAAATGCAAAAGGGGAACCCTGGCAAGGCAGATCAAAAGGAGAAGAAGAAGGGATAGAGCAGGAATATCAGGCATGAAGAGGGAAGCACCATGAAACAGACATCCGCCTTTCAAAACGTTTCTGTGGTAAAACAGTTCCTGGACAGGGCAGCGGAGAGCCTGGCGGGAGTGCGGCTTGGGGGACAGCACCAGGGCCCTGCCGGCCTCCCGCGCCCCATCCTGCGGGTCAACAGTTGCCTCACGCAGACGGAAGACAGGTCCTCACAGGAAAGAAGGATTCTGTTGAGAATGAGAAAACTGACATAGACAATATTGTTAAGGTTTATTATCCTAGATTTGACGGTACCAAGTCACAACATGAGATCCCACTGTGTATAGGCTGACAGGTGATATATTATCCAAATGACATTTTGAATGACAAATAGGTTTTGAAAATCCTAAGTGGGTTCCTATTCAGAACCTTTGAAAAATGCCACCATGTGTAAGAGTAAAACTGCCACTTTCCTGGCAGCGCTGATGCACCATGACAGTGTCCCCAGGAGCGGCTCTGCTGAGGGTAGGACGAAGGGCCTTGGAGACTTGCCTTTCCTTCGCTTTTCAAAGGTTTGGGCAGGGCCGGGGGAGGGCAGGTTTTGTCTGTACGCCTTTGCGGTGCCTGAGAATCACCCGTCAAGTGACAGCCAACCCAGGGCCCGGCCCACACGTCTGCATTTCCCTTGACTCCCTGGGCGACTCTGAGGTGCATCTGTGCTCACCAGGCTCTGTGACATGTCCGCGGGGACTGCCCCTCAGCGCCTTGATGACACCAAGCATTTACCGTTTGTCAGGCATCAGTCTAAGTTCACGCAGCTTAACGTTTATCCTTACAACAGCCTTTTCAGATCTGCACAGCCGTCCCTGTTTTGCACTCATGAAATGTCAATGCACAGAGGTCATATCGCACCCAAAGTCGCACGGCTAGCTGGGGACAGAGCTAGGATTTGAGTGCAGTCTGGCTGTAGAGCCTGTCCAGCCCACCACCACTCTGTGCTGCCCGGAGGTACTGGCCGTGGGAAAGCAAAGTTGTGCAGAGTGAGAGACTACCATTAAGGTAGCAAATTCACAGCGAGAGCATGAGCTCAAGAGTGCTGGAATCCACAGCCGGACTGCAGGGCAGCACAGGAGTGGCTGTCCCAGGCCCTGCGGCTGTGGAGGCGACTCCCACACAGCTCTGCTGTCGAGGGGCAGGACAATGGGGCCCAGCGCCATAGGCCAAGGAGAGGTGCGAGCACCAAGTAACAAAATAGTCTGTTCTGGGCTTCTCACTGCTTGCTTTGGGCTACCAAGTCTGTTAGGCAAAAAAGGAGGGAAGCAATTTAACCAAAGAAAACAGGGCTGGCAGAAGTTTTGAATGAGTTTGATTATTTTCCCCAACTCCTTGAGATTTCTGTTTGGGTTTGAAGAAACTGGATGCATCAGTCAGAGACGTCAGTGGCTGTGAGGACAACCACAGTGGGCCGGTAACTGAAGCTGTGGATGGAAGGTGGATGAGATCACATCAGATGAGAAGGGAGAAGAGCCCAGGACAAAACTCCCAGGTAGACCAGGTCTAAGGGGCGGACCATGGAGACCAGGCGGCACGGAGGAAGGACGGGCCAGGAGGACAGGGAGTCTTCGGGCAGATGCACAAGGAAAGGGTTACATCACAGTTTACTGTGTAGAGAATGTGTTCAAACTCGGCCATTTAACTGCTCAGTGTCCTGGACTTTTTAGGGGAAATCCTACAAGCCAATTTCTCCACCTGATGCCACTTTATCTTTAATTTATCTCCTAGCATTAATGGGAGAAATACTGTTGCACCCAGTGACACACAGTGATGGGACATCTGTGTGCTGTTGTATTAATATAGCGAGCTATTACTCAGCTGTACTCATAACAAAACGTAGATACCGTCATGCACACTGATGTTCTCACATGTCTGTACAGGTGTGCCTGTAGTTGACCCCTGCTTCTAACCATGATGTCGCCTTTCGTAGGTGGAACACGCAGTGCTTTCCCAAGAACCTTCATGTGCAAGATTGCTGAGTCCCTATAAAGTGAGCAGAACCCATATTTTTACATCTGGACTTTACCAAGGAGAAAACTGAGGTTAGGAGGAAGTTAATGGCTTACCTATGGTCACAAACTAGCTTGTGAAAGGGATGAAAGAAAACCAAGGCCACCGAGTCTTCAGGCCAACCCTCTCGTCTCTGGGACAAAGACATCAGCTTGTAACCTCAGAAACAAAGTCTGTGGCAGGTGCTCAGTGAAGACGGAAAAGGGGTTAAGGCTGTGGGTGGGAGACGAGCACAGAAACGGGATTGCGGCAACCGGGATTAGCCTAGCCTCGGTTTCAGGCTCTAGTAGCCCCTGCGGGTAAGGGGCCGGCAGGACGCTCTTCTCACGGCCTCGCTTCTCTGTGCGCAGGGCAGGTCCTGTGAGGAGGCTCTGCACAGGCTTCGTGGAGGCCAGACCGGCGTGAGCCCACTTCATTTTAGGAAACCTCAGTGCTCTTTCATTTGCAAGAAATCCTATAAATACTTTCAGTCAGAAAAAAAAAAAAAAAAAAGGTGTTTCTTTATAAAAATAGACCATACCTTTGATAACTCACCCCACAAATGAAACTAATTTTGGATATTTTAAAAACATGGAGATACTCATTTAAAGAACACACAGTAATGAGTGACCCAAACATAGTTGGGCGAGAAAACTTTCTAAGCAGGTTCAGAGTTTTACGAAACTCTCCAAGTCAGTGTCTCTGCGCACATGGCCTTAGATCAGTGTGAGTTAAAATCCCATGCTCAGGGCAGGAATTTCCTGACTTCCTTCTTGGCCCAATACAGAGTTTCCTCTTCTCTCCAGACTGGGCTGCTCCGGTGGCCTGGTGCGAAGCCTCCCGCTTCCTTGCGCACGGCCGTGCCCCGCTGCGGGAAGAAAGCCAGTCGAGGGCGGGTCACTCACTCTGTTGTCTCAGATGTGAGCTTCGCCGCTCCAGCTGGGTGCTCTGGAGGCTGTTTGAGAACACGCACCGAGTCACGCACACGTGGGGCTGGAAGTCAGAGGCTGCTGCCGCACCTGCATCTCTGGCCCACACCTTCCTCCTCTGCGGGGGGTCCCAAGGCCCTGGCAGCTGAAGGTCACCTGTGGTCACCAAGCTCAGATTCTGGACATCCTTTAGTCATTTTGTGAAGACGTTTGTAAACTGTAGAGTGCTCCACACCATTGTCTCTCGATCAGGTGGTAGTTCTCTTCCCACAGGAACCCGCAGTAGAACTGGGGTGCTGGTACTGTTACCCTCTGAATGGGAAGACGAGAGGGGGCAGAGAGGCGGGCACTCCTATGCTGCCCTCTCTGAGCGCCTAAAGCCTTCATTCCCCAAGGCAGACCCAAGACCCTCGGTTTCCTCTCTCCACCCCACCAAGCTGCAAATGGAACTTCAGAAGTTGAGAGCTGCCTTGGCCTTCTGGGATGGCACGTGCTGGACAGGCTCCTGCTGCCGCTGTGATAGCGTGTGGCTCCCTGCATACAGCACAACAACAACTCTGTTAAAATTTCATTCACATTTGAATAAAAATCTGTTTTAGTAGTATTTGTTTCATAGCTTTATCATGATACTGGTCTATGTAAGATGCTGACATTAGGGGACAGGTGAAGGGCGTATGGACACGCTGCACTATCTTTGCAACTCTTCTGTAAGTCTAAAACTTTTTTCAAATTAAATAGTTGGAAAAGAAGTTGAGGGCCATCTTCTAGACCTGTTGGAAGTTCAAGTAACACCCAAGCAGCTCTTACCCCTGCCACCCTCCGAGGTTGCGAGGGAGTGGGTCTGTTGTCCACAGCAGGGCTGACAGTGAGGGAAGCGGTTTGGAAAGAGTTGGAACTGAAGATGGCTCCTGCCATTCCCAGTTAGCTCTAGGAACTCCCCTGAAAGGCACGTGCCCCTGTTCCAGTGCACGCTGTCACCTCTGCAACCAAACCGACCCAGAGCCATCACTCTCCCCTGTCCTCACTGTTTGATGGTCTCCAAGAAGGACTGGGCTAGGACGGATTCCCAGACTCGAGGACAGTGACGTGTCCCTGCTCACAGACAGCCTTGTACCCTGAGTCAGAGTCTTTCCAGGGGATACCCCCAAAGCCTTGGAAGGAAGCGATTCACTTCTATTCCTTTTTCCAGCCATTTTTCTCAGCAACCATTTTTTAGTACCTAGTATAGGTAAAGTGTCACGCAGTCGTGACACATAGTAGATCCTGAGCCAGGCTCGGTGGCCACACCGTTTCGGGGGGCTCCTAGCTGTGGGTGCATGTTGGCACACTCGGACTCCTTCCCACCACCCCTGACCACAGGCACTTCCCTGTGACTCAGAGCCGTTTGCCCCTGAGTGGACGCATTGTCTCCAAGACGCAGGTGTGTTGGATCAAATGCACACGGTGCTGCGTGACATCCACACTGCCAGCCAGGACGTGGGCCTTTGAATGACAGCCAAGCTCCACAGTCCCAGACTCATTTCTCTCCTTGTTTTCCTGGTGCCACCAACACCATCATCCTTCAAAGATTCCCAGCTGTTATTCTGGAATGTTCTCTAATCCTTCTGTCACCTCCCAGCTTCTCCTCCTCCCAGGCCAGTCTCCTGTCCTGCCCTTCCTTCTACAAAGGGTCTCCTGGATCCACCCCTCCCATCACCATCTGTCACCTGTCCTGGGAAGAATGACGTTCTAAAGGGAAATCTGACTATACATCAACATGAAAAGCATGGCAACTTGAAGGAAAAGGTTCTTTCAGGCCCATGTGAAAGCCCAGAGCGGTGCTCCTGGTCAGGGGCCCCAGGCGGCACCTGCAAATGGCACCAACTTCCCTGGCTGGGCTCTGCCGAGGGCCGGGTTTTGCAAAACTTTCCTTCCATTCCGGGCTCAAGGGACAATGGGAAATACCAAGGGTCGCCTGGGAGACCTGCTCCAGGCCAGACCAGGACACGGCGCCCATCCTCCTGCCCACGTCCTTCACGGCCTGCACACGGCGTCATGGAGCCACGCGGCCTGCCCTGAGGAGGACCTGCCATGCGGCCACACGTGGTACGCTAGGAGTCCAGCCAGCTCGTGCAGTTTGTAAAAACACACAGAGCCCCCTTCCCCATGCACTGCCAGGCATGCTTCCCATTCTTCCTGGAGAGGACACTGGTGCACTTCCCCAGATCCCGCCACCTTTCTGCCCCAGCGCCTGCCATTTGAATGTCTTTGAAGGCCCACCAACCAACGTGATGTCTGAATTCCTGAGTCTCATCATGCTGGTCCCTTTCCCCGGCTCAGGCTCCCCATCCTAACCCATCTCTGGGCACCCTCAGGGCTGCCCTGCTCTGCTATCTCCCTGGCAAACCAGCCACCAATGGGGACGTGAGCAGGTGCCCAGGCACACTAGCTCTTGGGCTGACATCAGCCACGCGAAGCCAGGCAGGAGATGGGAACAGCCTTGCCTTGATCAGAGGCCACCTCTCCTCTCAGCGTCCCCTCTCGTCGTGAGTCTGCTCTGGGCCCTCCTCCTCTAAGCTCCCGGAGACAGGAGCCCGCTGCCTGTAGGCCCAGCCTGCCGTGTCATCCTGTGTCTCCATAAACCTCACCCCTCTGTAAACAGCCCCGTTACTAAACCATTGCAGAATCCTCTAGGTTGGTGACCATCACCTGACTTCCTGAGTCCTGCTGGTTCCCCCCAGACATGCAGGTCCACACCAACCTGGCCCTGCCTGCTTCCTGTCCTGCCCCCGTGACGGCCACCTCAACCTTCACCTCTGTCTTCAGGCCACATGCTCAACCTTCATCTTTATTTTCAGGTAACCTTGTCTTCTTATCGAGAAATGCAGGTCCTCAGGCATGATTCCCACAACCTCTGACTCCAGCTTTAGGTATACAAAAATGTTAGGAGCGGGTGGGCCACTCCAGCCACTGATGGGTTTCCCTCATTCTCTCCTCAGTTCGGTTTGTCTCACAAAGGATTATACATGCACCTCTGGCCCTCCTTTGTCACCTGTCTTCTTAGTGCCCCGCAGTCTGAATTCCACCCCTGCACACTGGTGAAACTATCCTCAGCGAGATGACCAGTAGCTTCCAAATTGCCAGATCATATCTACATTTTCAAATCTTACCTAATGGAGCATTTTGACATTTTGATCCCTCCTTCAAATAATTTTTCATTACCTAAGTAGTTTTGTTGAATGTTGAAAAAATGCTAATATAAAGATAAGCCCCCCAAAAAGACTTGTAGTCCTACTGTCTAGCAACAACCATTAACATTTTACTGTATAGCCTTCCAGATGCTTCTATGCATACATATTAAATGGATTATATACGGGAATTAATGATATGTAACATTTAGTACCCACTTTTAAAATATGGTCATCTTTCCTTGTCAAAAATACAAAGACACGTTCATTTGAATGGCTACATTGGATTCCAGTATGGAATTGTTTACATTTGGAAATGTTGGTTCTTGCCAATTTTTCCTTATTAAGGAACAACCTTGTGATGAATGGGCTTCTTAGTGCTCCATATTTTTATTTATTCTAATTGTTTTCTTAGAATAAGTTGTTAGAAGTCACAGCCCTGCTGCCAACTGTCAGCCCACATGCCAGCTGCCCCATTGTTTCCTAGGATTTGCACTGTTCTAAACAAAGAAAAGAAAGCAAGAGACGGGATGTGGTTGCAGCCTTGGGCCTGGGCCGCAGCTTTCGTGGAGGCTGGCCGACGGGCACCAGCGTGGGACGCAGGTGATTAGGACTGTCCTGGTGCTTCTCCACCTTGGAAACAAAGTCAAACATTCCATAAGCTGCCTGCATGGGCATCTCTCAAACCTACTCTGTCTACCTCATAATCATAGTCACATTCTCCTAAATTCTGGCATTATTACCTGTAAATCTTCATTGTTGTGTTGTGAGGCTTTTTTTCTGCACCAGCATTTTAATAAGATGTCAGACAAAGCCACTGACATCTTGAGCATGAAGCCCATGGGTTTGCCATTTCCTGAGTTTAATATATATTAATCCCCTTGGCTTCTGCAAAACCATACCCTCCTGTTTCTCTTTGAACACTGTTTCCTCTTTTTATCTCCTTCTTTGGCTTCTCTTCCTCCACATGGCCCATAAGTGCCAGCAGTTCCCAGGCTTCTACCCTGAGACAGCTTCTCTGCTCGCTCTACCGCTCTCGGGGGGAAGGGGGTCTGAGCCACTCTTAAAGTTTGAGCTTCTAGGACCCCCTTGGCCCTCTTCTGCTCCCAGACTTCGCATCCAGCTGCCCACTAAACACCACCCAGCCTCACTTAGGGCTCTCAAAGCGGATTTCACCACCCTGCCCCTCAGCCGGGGCCTGCCCTGGGCCGCCTGTGTCCTGGGCACACTGCGGCTGGCCCAGGCATGTGACCCAGAAACGGCCGCTCCTGCAGACAGCTCTTCCGCCACCCTCGCGCCTGGCCAGCCACCACACACCGCTGGCCTCACCTCGGAGGAGTGTGTCGAACCGGCTGCTGCTTCAGCGTTGCTGTCATGTCTGAGGTGGCCCTGGCGGTCTCCCACGGGAACCTGGAGAACTGAGGCTCCTTCTCAACATTGACATTAGGTAGGCTTGAGCCACACTAGCATCCGGGAATGTCAGGCCACCGTGGGCAGCAGCACAAGCGTGCAGACAGACGCCCTGTGGCACAGGCACGCAGGGACTGCTGAAAGCTGAGGGTCACGCTCTCGAGCACCCAGTCTCCCCCCACCAACAAAAATGTGCAGAAGCCCACTGCTAGAGGATTTTGCAGGCACTAAAGATAATAAAAGTGAAAAAAAAAAAAATCTAGCTCAACTCATTACTAGGCAGACATCCCTCCACGCTAATGAAGAACCTGCATATCTTCAAGGGTATGTGCTTTTTACCTCAGTCTCTACTTTTCTACACATGATGTTTGCAATTCAATCAAAAATTGGGAAACAACAAGAATTTAAGAGAGAAAATGTCAAGAAATCAAGGAATCAACAGACCACACACAGAGATGACCAAATGTTGGAAATATCAGTTAGGACTTTAAGATGACTCTGATCGGTCTATGAAAGAAACTCATGGAGAAAGTAGACAACATGTATGAACAAATGGGAAATTTCGGCAAAGAGATAGAAATAATCAAAAAGAGTCAAATGGAAATGTTAGAAATAAAAACAGTATCAGATATAAAGTATTTTTTGTATAAAGCAGATATGATTATTTTTATTTCATAAATTTGTGACACAGGAACTCAAAAGGCATTGGTAACTTGATCAAGGTCACAAAACTAGTAAAATACATTCTGGGACTGGAACCCAAGTCTGCCCGAATCTGACACAGCAGTCACTCTGCAGGATTGTTTCTGGACATAAGCCATTCCCTCGGTGGGCTTTAGCAGAGTGGACGTCGCTGAGCAAACAGGTCAGTAGAAATTATCCAAAAAGAAACAAAAGTGGGAAGGGAGGATGGCAGACACTGAACAGAGCATCCAAAAGATGTCAAACAATATTGAATGGTCTGACCTATTCTTATTGGACCTCCAGAAAAAAATAAACAAAAGGAAGCAAAAATCTTTGAAGAGATAGTAGCTGAAAATTTTCCAAAACTAATGAAATGAAAGACAACAAACCACAGAGCCAAGAGGCTCTGGAAGTCTCAAGCAGGATAAATGCAGCATCCCCCGCCCCCCACACACCAGTCTAATTAGCATGTTCCATTGACCGAGAAAACCTTCAAGTGGCCAGAGGAAAAGAAACATTATATAATCACAGATGGTTTCACATCTGTGCAAGCCAGAGACAATGGAGCAACAAGTACAGTTGTACTCTTATCCATGGTTTTGTTTTCTGCGGTTTCAGTTACCCATAGTCATCTGCAGTCCTGAAACATTAAATGGAAAATTCCAGAAATAAACAACTTATAAGTTACAGAGTTTAAATTGTGTGCCATTCTGAGTAGTGTGATGGAGTAGCCGGCACACTCCCTCCCTTTGTCGTCACAAGAAGGATGAGCACAGTACAATAAGAGACTCTGAGAGTGAGAGGGAGGCCACATTACGTAACTTTTATCATAGTATATTGTTATAATTGTTCTATTTTATTATTAGTCATTGTTAACCTATTTCTGTGCTTGATTTGTAAATTAAACCTCACCATAGGTGTGTGTGTGTATAGGGAAAATCACATTAATACTACATACAGAGTTCAGTAAGATTCACGGTTATGGGCGTCCGCTGGGCTCTTGGAACAATCCCCCACAGACAAGGGGGACTGCCATACTGAGAGGAAAGCTGCCCGCCTAGAATTCTATACCAAATGAAATTATCTTGCAAAAATGAAGGTAAAATACAGATTTCTTTAGATAAACTGTCTGTGACAACATATTTCCAGCAAACAGACGCCGAGAGAATTCATTTACGCAGACCTATGCTGGGATTCCGCGCTAGGTGGAAGCTGGTGTCCACACACACATACTGAGAAACACTGAAAACTGTAAAAATAAGAACATATGTAAAAGGAATTTTTCTTATTTTTAATTGCTTTAAAAGACTGTCTAAAGAAAAAATAGGAGTGACATAGAGTTTATAGCTACGTGGAAGTGAAATTTATGGCAATAATGGCATGAGAATGGAAAGGAGAAAGCCATGATGTTGGCTTCTCGCGCCGTGTGGAAGCGGCACGTTGCTGGAAGAGGGACTCGATGAGTTGGAGATGCATATTGTAAACCCTAGAGCACTCACTAAGAACTTTTTTAAAGATATATAACTCATAAGCAAATAATGGAAGTAAAATAATGGAGGGTTTTTTTTTTTTTAGCTAAATCATAAAAAATAATCCAAAAGAATGCAGGGAAAAGAGGGAAAAAATGAACAAAGAACAGATAGGACAAATGGAAAACAACTGGCAATATGACAGATTTAAGTCAAACCACATCAATAATTACAATAAATGTAAAAGCCCCAGTTTAAAAACAGACAGGTGGGTTAGGTTAAAAAAAAGAAAGAAAAGCTCACTTTAAATATAAAGACACACATTAAAAGTAAAAGGGTGGAGAAAAATACAAACGCTAATCGAAAGATGGAGTGGCTATACTAACAGACTATTTATTAACCACTTGGGTACGGTGCTCACCAGCTGCGAAACCGCGCCCACAGCCGACACTCACAGTCCGCACGGTGGTCTGTGCTGTGCATTGATGACAGAACCGTTTTGCTCTTGTGTGATGAGGAAAGCTTGAAAGCGCTGACAGCTTGTTTTACTTTACAGGCAGCTTTCCTTGTAATGTAAATCAGAATGGGTATAACATACATCTATGTTTTCATTACATTATTTTTAAATGCTCACAATTTTATATTGGCAAATGAAAAATTAGAAAAGTCATATCACAGCTATAGGCTAAAGTCCACGCTCAGCTGTGCACCTTCATCTGTGGCTGCTGACTACAGTCGACACTGGGCTGTGCACATTCATCTGTGGCTGTCAGCTATAGTAGACGCTGGGCTGTGCACATTCATCTGTGGCTGTCAGCTATAGTAGATGCTGGGCTGTGCACATTCATCTGTGGCTGTCGACTATAGTAGACGCTGGGCTGTGCACATTCATCTGTGGCTGTCGACTACAGTAGACGCTGGGCTGTGCATGTACATCTGTGGCTGTCGACTACAATAGACGCTGCGCTGTGCACGTTCATCTGTGGCTGTCAACTATAGACGCTGGGCTGTGCACATTCATCTGTGGTTGTCGACTACAGTCTACGCTGGGCTGTGCACATTCATCTGTGGTTGTCGACTACAGTCTACGCTGGGCTGTGCACATTCATCTGTGGCTGTCGACTACAGTCTACGCTGGGCTGTGCACATTCATCTGTGGTTGTCGACTACAGTCTACGCTGGGCTGTGCACATTCATCTGTGGCTGTCGACTACAGTCTACGCTGGGCTGTGCACATTCATCTGTGGCTGTCGACTATAGTAGACGCTGGGCTGTGCACGTTCATCTGTGGCTGTCGACTAGTAGACGCTGGGCTGTGCACATTCATCTGTGGCTGTCAGCTATAGTAGACGCTGGGCTGTGCACATTCATCTGTGGTTGTCGACTACAGTAGACGCTGGGCTGTGCACATTCATCTGTGGCTGTCAACTATAGTGGACGCTGGGCTGTGCACATTCATCTGTGGCTGTCGACTACAGTAGACGCTGGGCTGTGCACATTCATCTGTGGCTGTCGACTATAGTAGACGCTGGGCTGTGCACATTCATCTGTGGCTGTCGACTATAGTAGACGCTGGGCTGTGCACGTTCATCTGTGGCTGTCGACTATAGTAGACGCTGGGCTGTGCACGTTCATCTATGGCTGTCGACTACAGTCTAAGCTGGGCTGTGCACGTTCATCTGTGGCCGTCAACTATAGTCGCTGCTGGGCTGTACACGTTCATCTGTGGCCATCAACTACAGTAGACGCTGCGCTGTGCACGTTCATCTATGGCTGTCAACTATAGTAGACGCTGGGTTGTGCACGTTCATCTATGGCTGTCGACTATGGTAGACGCTGGGCTGTGCATGTTCATCTGTGGCTGTCGACTACAGTCTACGCTGGGCTGTGCACATTCATCTGTGGCCGTCAACTATAGTCGCTGCTGGGCTGTACACGTTCATCTGTGGCCATCAACTACAGTCGACACTGCGCTGTGCACGTTCATCTGTGGCTGTCAGCTATAGTAGACGCTGGGCTATGCACGTTCATCTGTGGCTGTCGACTATAGTAGACGCTAGGCTGTGTGCATTCATCTGTGGCTGTCGACTACAGTAGACACTGGGCTGTGGACATTCATCTGTGGCCGTCAACTACAGTAGACGCTGGGCTGTGGACGTTCATCTGTGGCCGTCAACTACAGTAGTCGCTGGGCTGTGGACATTCATCTGTGGCCGTCAACTACAGTAGACGCTGGGCTGTGGACGTTCATCTGTGGCCGTCAACTACAGTAGACGCTGGGCTGTGCACATTCATCTGTGGCTGTCGACTATAGTCGATGCTGGGCTGTGCACGTTCATCTGTGGCCGTCGACTACAGTAGACGCTGGGCTGTGCACATTCATCTGTGGCTGTCGACTATAGTCGATGCTGGGCTCTACACGTTCATCTGTGGCTGTCGACTATAGTAGATGCTGGGCTGTGCACATTCATCTGTGGCCATCGACTACAGTCGACACTGGGCTGTGCACATTCATCTGTGGCTGTCGACTATAGTCGATGCTGGGCTGTGCACGTTCATCTGTGGCCGTCAACTACAGTAGACGCTGGGCTGTGCACATTCATCTGTGGCTGTCGACTATAGTCGATGCTGGGCTCTACATGTTCATCTGTGGCTGTCGACTATAGTAGATGCTGGGCTGTGCACATTCATCTGTGGCCGTCAACTACAGTAGACGCTGGGCTGCACACGTTCATCTGTGGCTGTCGACTATAGTAGACGTTGGGCTGTGCACATTCATCTGTGGCTGTCAACTACAGTAGATGCTGGGCTGTGCATGTTCCTCTGTGGCTGTTGACTATAGTCGATTCTGGGCTGTACACGTTCATCTGTGGCTGTGGACTATAGTAGACACTGGGCTGTGCACGTTCATCTGTGGCCGTCAACTACAGTAGACGCTGGGCTGTGCACGTTCATCTGTGGCTGTCGACTATAGTAGACGCTGGGCTGTGCACATTCATCTATGGCTGTTGACTATAGTGACGCTGGGCTGTGCACATTCATCTGTGGCCATCAACTACAGTAGACGCTGAGCTGTGCACATTCATCTGTGGCTGTCGACTATAGTAGACGCTGGGCTATGCACATTCATCTGTGGCTGTTGACTATAGTGACGCTGGGCTGTGCACATTCATCTGTGGCCGTCGACTACAGTCGACACTGGGCTGTGCGCATTCATCTGTGGCCGTCAACTACAGTAGACCCTGGGCTGTGCACATTCATCTGTGGCCGTCAACTACAGTCGATGCTGGGCTGTGCGTGTTCATCTGTGGCTGTCGACTATAGTGATGCTGGGCTGTGCACATTCATCTGTGGCTGTCGACTACAGTCAATGCTGGGCTGTGCACATTCATCTGTGGCTGTTGACTATAGTGACGCTGGGCTGTGCACATTCATCTGTGGCCGTCGACTACAGTCGACACTGGGCTGTGCACATTCATCTGTGGCTGTCGACTATAGTGACGCTGGGCTGTGCACATTCATCTGTGGCCGTCAACTACAGTCGACACTGGGCTGTGCACATTCATCTGTGGCTGTCGACTACAGTGACGCTGGGCTGTGCGCATTCATCTGTGGCTGTCAACTACAGTAGACGCTGGGCTGTGCACATTCATCTGTGGCTGTCGACTATAGTGACGCTGGGCTGTGCACATTCATCTGTGGCTGTTGACTACAGTCGATGCTGGGCTGTGCGTGTTCATCTGTGGCTGTCGACTATAGTGACACTGGGCTGTGTGCATTCATCTGTGGCCGTCAACTACAGTAGACGCTGGGCTGTGCACATTCATCTGTGGCTGTCGACTATAGTGATGCTGGGCTTTGCACATTCATCTGTGGCTGTTGACTACAGTCGATGCTGGGCTGTGCGTGTTCATCTGTGGCTGTCGGCTATAGTGGTTAACAAGGGTGAAAAGGAATATCACATAACGACAAAGGAACCATGTCATCAGGAAGGCATAACAAGTGTGTGTGTGTGCCCGCAACAAAACAGCTTCAATTTTTATAAAACAAAAATTATAAAACTGAAAGGAGAAATAAACAAATCCACAATTAGGTACTCCAACATTTCTCAATAACTGATATCATAGATATAAAATCAATAAAGATACAACGGATCCTCAAACAACGTTGTTTTGTTATATAGTTGATGAGAAAAAAAAAAATCACTTCCTGTCTGGGGTCACTGTGTGGAGTCTGCCCTTTCTCCCCATGTCTGCATGCATTTTCTCCAGGTACTATAATTGCCTCCCACATCCCAGAGATGTGCCTATTCAGGGAAATTGTGTGTCTGCCTGGACCCGGCCTGAGTGAGTGTGGGTGTGTGCGTGAGTGTACCCTGCTGTGGGCAACTCCTGTCCAGGGTAGGTTCTCGCCACCTTCCCCAAGCTGCTGGGGTAGGCTCTAGCCACCCACGGCCAAGAACTGGAATAGTGGGTTGGAAAATGGATGGATGAATGAGTACAAATTGTTGTAAAATAAAAATTCATAAAGTCTACAATAATCACACAAATGCTTGACAATAAATGATGCAATAGGAAGGCACTTAGCAAACCCACTGTATTTGATCTTGTTGAACTGGCAGATGGCAGGGAGTGCTCCTTACGATGATTATTCTGCAAACGTTCATTCCTTGATTTAACCTGCCTGCAGTGAGTACTAACGGTGCGTTCTGCACCCCTGATGTCTATGGCCACAAAAAGCAGATAAAAAGTGTTACAATAGAAACAAAGGTATTAACCAAAGTTTTAAAGAGTTTTGAGGAGGGACAAGCGAGGCGTGGATGTGGAAAGACTCACCCATACCCATCACCAGTGATGGGGACTGAGCTTCCCTCCCCAAACCAGCCACCACCACAGCGTCAGGCACTGATTCACCAGAAATTGGGCTAATAATTATCATACTTGTTTTCATTCTTTCTTAAATGTACATACAGCTCACATGTATTTCACTGTTTAGTATTAGAAGTGTTTGGGATCTTTATGAGCATATTTAGAAGTTTGGTGATATTTTTGTGACCAGGACGATGCCATAGACACTTAACTCTTATTTTTATCGTCCAGTCTATGGTAAAATTTGTTTCATTACATGTCATTTCACCTAAAGTCACAGTTTCCAAGAATCTAGTCAATGACAGTGAGGACTGTACTGTATAGAAACCCTAAGCAACATCATCAGCCACTCGAAATGCACGGGCTGCCCGCCACACAGCCGCTCGCGCCTTGTTCTCCGATGCGTGTGAGCACTCACCAGGACAGGCCACGAAACACTTGCTGGGCCATTAAACAAGCCTGATCAAATTTAAGAGAATTAAACTGATATAAAGTGTGTTTTATGGCCACAATAAAGTTAAACTAGAATCACAAACAGCCATCTGGAAAATCCACAAATATGTGGAAATTAACGCATTTCTAAATATCCTGTGAGTTGATACAGAAATCATGAGATGACTTAGAAAATATTTTGGAGTGAGTG